GCCTGCACTCGGCGCCGCCACAGCCCCCACTGCCCGGGCCGCTGCCTCAGCACCCGCCCGTGCCACCCGCCGCCGGGCCACTCGCGGGACAGCCGCGCAAGAGCAGTTCGTCGCGCCGCAACGCGTGGGGGAACCTGTCCTACGCCGACCTCATCACCAAGGCCATCGAGAGCTCGGCCGAGAAGAGACTCACGCTGTCGCAGATCTACGAGTGGATGGTCAAGAGCGTGCCCTATTTCAAGGATAAGGGTGACAGCAACAGTTCGGCGGGCTGGAAGGTGAGTGGCCCCGGGGGTGCGCGGTGGGGCGGGCGAGGGGCGGCTGTGCAGGTGTGTCCCGCCTGGCCGTGCAAGGCCAGGGAGCAGTGTCTGCGGGGACAGCGGCGTGAAGTGGCCGGAGTGCGGGACACTGGACTACGGGTGTGTGTGTGTGTGTGTGTGTGTGTGTGTGTGTGTACGCGCGCGCGCGCAGAGGAGTTCAAGGGGGACTGGGAAAAGGGCTTGTTTGGCAACGACGGCACCAACAAAGTTAGCCAAGAAGTGGACGTTAGCGCGGACAGCAAAGTTTCCCAGTTAAAAAAAAAGAAAATAGCGGGGTTCACTCGGAGAGGGTGCCCTTTCCCTTCCGGACCAGCGAAGGGGCCGAGGAGGGGCGACTCCCCTCAGCTCCCTGCGGCGCGCTTTCCTCCCCAGCCGGAGCGCGGAGCCGTTTCCGCTGCGCCAGGTACACGGGGGCGCAACGAGGGGCCTTCGAGGCCCTCCACCTGTGGGGAGGGACAGGCCGGTGTCACGGCTTGGGGACGGTCTGGGCCGGCTGGTTCTGGAGGCTGGCGCACAGTTTGCTTTGTTTTGTCCCCCCCCCCTCCCAAGTGGCCCCGAGTACCGGGGCCGGGCGTGCCAAGCTCGGGGTGAGCTTCTCGGACACGTGCGGAAAGGGTGGCCACTACCTGCGTAAAGCCGGTGCCAGGCCGAACTGGGCGACCGAAAGTTCAAGTGTGACCCTCGGCGGGGGCGGGAGCTGGCGGCGGGGAGGGAGGGGCGAGGGCGCAGGAAGCGGGTGCCTTTAAAGGGCCAGCACTTCTGCACTCCGGGAAGCACCCCCCTACTTGGGCTTGCCTTTGGCACGAGGCTTGTAATTACAAAGCCAGTGACTGCTTGGGGGGTGGGTGGAGAGGTGATCAGGGGTTGAGATGTGTGTGTGCGTGTGCGCGCGCTTTCTGTTTGCTTTGCCAACTCGGTGTTATTGAGCGCGGAGGTGCAGATGAGGGACAGAGCAGGGACCTTTGAGACTATTTTGGGGAAGTGGAAGTGGAGGAACGCATCTAAGGACCCTGCGCGGGTGTGTGTGTGTGTGTGCGTGTGTGTGTGTGTAGGTGGGGGGGGGGGGGCTCCAGCCGCGAAAGATGATAGATCCGCAGATGGGATGTCTCGCCCCTCTTCCCCCACTTCTTTTTAAGCAAAATTAGGGGAGACATTTCAGTGAGACCGCGGGCGGGGCGGGGGGGCGGAATTGTCTGTCTCTACCCTAGCGGGACTGTTTGGAAGCCCTTCGGAGGCACTAACTGGAAGGTTGGCCGGTGGTGGGGTCCTCCCTTTTTGCGTCCTGCCAAAACTGACAGTTTCTCTGTCACCGTCCCAGACTCTGGTGGGAAGAACACCTTTTCTCCCCTCTGCTCACTCTGCCCATCTTGATGGGACAGCGTTGCTGCGCAGTGGTTACACCGAAGTTGTTTTACTTACACTGTCATCACTGTGGTTAATGTGTCAAAAAAGGTCAAGTTACTCACCTCGTTTGGAAGTTCCTGGAGAAGGAGCCAAGAGTTATTGTATCCCCCCCCCCCCTCCGAAGTGTCTCAAAGTATCACTTAGGAGCTCATTAGTAGACTTTACCTGCAATTTTACCAAGTGTTTCCAAATGAGCGAGGTGACTTCCTCGCTCAGCTCCACCTGTTAAATATTCTAAGTCACAGAACTAGGATGGTGTGCCATATGTACTTAACATTTGAGCGCAAGTACTTGACAGTGACTAGCTCATCACTCAATCCTGCAAATACATTTGCTGTTTAAAAAAAAAAGAAAACACAACACAAGTTTTTTTTTTTTTGGTCTTCAAGATGCAGCGTGTACACACACCATTCTTCTAAGTCCTTGGAAATGAACCTACTTCGGCATGCTGGAGTGCTTTATTTTAAAGATAAAGGCAATGTTTGGGGGTTATTTTTAGTTTTGCTTCTCAGATGGTATTGTCAAGGTATTTTTCTTAAACTGGAAATGATTTTTTTTTTAGAAAACATCTATAAGGTCATATTATTAGGTCCTTGCACTGATTTTTTAATTTATTTAAGATTTTGCTTAAGAGAGCCACGAGAGCTCTGTAAATTGTTGTTAGGACTGTGTCAGGAATTAGAGGGCCAGCCCCAGCTCCCCAAAGCCCTGAAGCCCTTATTGAGGCTTTGGGAAGGAAGAGACTGTCTTTGTCAAATGAGTTGGGGTTTCAGGTGTGATGAAAGTCAGTTGGTTAGAGTACAGCAAGTAAGTTTTCAGTCTGACTAAAAGGATATTTTAAGAAGAAACAACCTGAACCATTCTAACTCATAACTAGTCTCCTGGTTAGAGCTTTCATAAGAATGAGTTACTTGTTAAAACCAAGTTTCACTCTCAGTTCAGATGGGTTCTCTGTACCTTGAACATTCATAAATGGGATAAATTTTTACTGTGACTTTTAACTAAAAAAAATCAAGTTCTAACATGCAATTCAATCCAAACTTAACTGTTTTAAGAATTGAGAGAGAGAGAGAAAGGCTGCTTTGGAACAGTATATTTCCTGTGATTTAGTACAGGGAATTAGAACGAATCTTTACAATTAAACACACTTTCTTGTGCTCAACTTCCTGAGGACTGCCTGAGTATTTATTTGCTAGTCATTTGCATAGGATGGAGTAGTTGGAAAGCAGTGTCTGCAAACTCTTCTAATGTAATTCCTTACATAGTTAAGCAATGAGGGATTTGTCTTCTTCAATTCATGTTTGTAGGCCTGTGTTTGCACTTGTTTTAATATTGGTAGAACTATAAGTTACACTCAAAGTGGAACCTCAAACTTGGAAAACCCGGGATCTTTTAAATCTAACTCAGTGTTTATAAATACTGAAACTTAATTTCATGACCTGTTTTGTCACATGGAACACTTTCTAAAACTTGAGAAATAGTATTGTATTGTGCACTCTGATTTTTTTTTAAGTTAATTGGCAGATTGGAGTTGATGCTTGCTTTTTGTTTTGATATAATTTGGATTTGGACCATTTAGTCAAAAAGATTATCCTGATTATAATCGTTAAGACTTTTAGACTGTTTTATTATGAGGTGGTGCTGGTGTTCTTTAATTTGGAATAAAGTTGCCTTAATTTGGTCAATACAGTGCATTTTATGTTAACAAATTCGATGATACTGGGCTTTTAATCTGCAGATGAATAGTCATACAGGGTTGATTTTTTTGGGGGCGGGGTACACAATCACTTTTGGCTTAACACAGTCATGTAGAAATTCCTTTGTAGGACCGAGGTATCTTTTCTACTAATTACTTGTCCCTGAAATTGTCTTAAAGACAACCATTTATATAGTCAGGTAAAAAATTCAATTCAATGTAGTATTTTGGGAAGAGAATGAAGAAAGACATTAAAGATGGGTTGGGGTGGGGGTGGGGGTTATGCAGGTAAGCAACTGTGATGTGATATTTTGTTAAATAAAGGTTGAAAGTTACCTGAGTTGCTGTGAACATGTCCTATGCTGAAACTTTTTTTTTCTTTTTTTTGGGGGGGTCTGGTCATGGGGCCTGACTCTGGGCCTGGGCGCTGTCCCTCAGCTCTTCAGCTCAAGGCTAGCACTCTACCACTTGAGCCACAGCGCCACTTCTGGCTTTTTTTTTTTCTGCTTATGTGGTGCTGAGGAATCGAACCCAGGGCCTTAAGCATGCAAAGTGAGCGCTCTACCACTGAGCCACCTTCCCAACCCATATGCCGAGAAACTTTTTGTTAGAAACTTTTGGTATGTGCTTGTAATCTCAGCACTCAGGGGGGTAAAGCAAGAGGATTGTGTTTGAGGCTAGCCAGTACTACATAGTAAGTTGTGTTTTATTTAAAAAGAAAAAAAGAGGGCTGGGAAGGTGACTCAGTGGTAGAGTGCTTGTCTTGCATGAATGAAGCCCTGGGTTCAGTTCCTCAGTATCACATAAGCAGTGAAAGCTGGAAGTGGTGCTGTGGCTCAAGTGGTAAAGTGCTAGCCTTGAGCTGAAGAGATGAGAAACAGAGTCTAGGCCCAGAGTTTAGGCCCTACAACTGGCAAAAAAAAAAGAAGAAGGTAAAAAGAGAAAAGGCACTAGATGTGAATACTTAAATATATTTTACTTATGTGTGTGCGCGCGTGTGTGCGCGTGCCTGTGCATGCGTGCGCATGCGCACACACGAGCCAATACTGGGGCTTGAACTCAAGACCTTGCATTACTCCAATGGCTTTCCAGCTCACAGCGGCACTTTATTGCTGGAGAGCCATACCTAGTCTAGATGGACTTTTTTTTTCTGGTTAACTGGAGATGGAGTCTTGTAGATTTTTCTGCATGGCTTCACTTTGAGCAGATATTCTCCAGGCCTCAGCCTCTAGGATAGGTTGGATTACAAGTACCTAGTCTTACACCATAGCTTTGTATCAAATTTTGGCTGGGAGATGGTGGGAGGGGTAACTGTAAACTTGTTTTCTTTTTTGAGGGAGTGGGGTGGGATTTGGTGGTGGGGGGAGGACAAGGGTTGGTTGTGGGACTTGAATTTAGAGCCTAGGCTCTGTCCCAGAGATTCTTTGTGCTCAAGTCTAGCACTCTTCCATTTGAGCCACAGTGCCACTTCTGGTTCTTGAGTGGTCAATTGGAGATGAGAGTCTCATGAGGTCTTTTCTGCCCAGGCTGGCTTCGAACCATGATTCTCAGATCTCAGCCTCCTGAGTAGCTAGGATTACAGCCATGAGCCATGGGCATCTGGCTTGGGTCTCCAACTAGTGCTGCTTAGTACTGGAGTTACAGGTGAGCATATGACCCTTTTTCCACTTTGTTTGTTTAAGTGACAACTATTTGAATACTGAAAGGGAAGGCATTTTCATCTTCATGTAGTCAGAGTTGCCTGGGGCCTTTAAGTTGCTAGCAGACAACAATGTCACAAAAAATACCTTCTATGAAGTGAGGCTGAGAGCAAAGAATACTCAGTGGTCCAAGAATGTTTGGTAGGCCACACATGTTT